CAATTTTCATCCTTAATTTTCTAACAGATACTCTTTGTAGGCCAAGCTGAGTGGTGGAAGGTGAAGGACAGCCCTCTTGTTGGCACACAGTTTTCTTAGAAGCTACAGGAATTCCATTATATCAAATTCCTGCATATCTCCTAAATAAATCTTTGGTGAACATAAAAATCTTTCCTGAGTGTAAAAACTGGTGCATTGCAGATTCTTCCATTGAGCAGGTCACAAACAACCTTTTTGCTCCGAAACAAACCGTCTCCCTCTCCCCACCTCTAAAACTAGTAACCCTTTCCAGGTATTTACCTTATTTTTTCTTTCATCACAAATACTCATTCCAGATGGAATATACAGAAAGCAAAGCTCATTTAGTTGTAAACAACTTTGTCTTAGAAAAAGAAATTATTAAAATCACCCCAGGAATCATTTTAGCTTTTGTCTGCTTTCTCCTGCCAGGTTTTTACCTGAAGGAAGAGCATGGGCTGGGTATTAGAGCAATCCTCCCCAGGCAGGAGGGCTCAGCAGAGACTTGCAGGAACTGTTCTAAGAGGTACACAGCATGCAGCAGTGAAACCAGATGCTGCTTAACTCATTTTCTGTTGCTCACTCCAATTCCAAACCCCCTGGATTTTGAGAAGAGCACAGAGGCAGGATTTCTGCCCAGCTAACTGCTCCACTGCTAGCAATGCAATTTAGGCCTGGCATCAAAACAGATCAGAGCTTCATTCTCAATGCTAGTGACTCAAGGTGAGGCAAAACTAAAATCTGCAAGGGGCAGCTTCACCTCTGACCTCCTTTCAGCAACCTTTTTCTCAGAGATGCATATTCAGACTGAAAAAAAGCAGGGTTAACTTGTTTCAACAAGTGAAACAGTATTTTTTTTTCTTCTTGGATGATTTCACCTCCAAATATAAAAAGAAGATTTATTTGCATCACTATTAGCCTTTCCAGCAATCAGAGAATCTCAAAAATGCTTCCTAATGATGTTCTTTCCCAATACTTGAAAATTTTAAAAAACAACAGCAACAAAGACCAGACCCCCGAGCCTTCCCTCACTTTCAGTTCCTTCTGATATTTTCACATATGCAGGCAAAAAAAATCTCTTATTAATGTCACAAAGCTGCCAGAATCCAAACTTTTGCTGTGTAGTCTCCTTAACAACTCTCATTTAGAGTGAGCAGGTGGCAAGAAGGAAGCAGAGCAAGAGAAAAGACAATTATTTTGGGAAAGGAAGTGGTAACTGCTACTAGCTTGTCAAACAGCATGAATGGTGGAAATCTGAATCATGCTTTTACTGGATGAATGGGCTAATTCCAACACACTGCTATAAACAACGATCCTTTAAAAGGATGTAATCTCCCTAACAGGAAAAAATACACCTGTTAGAAAAAGAGCAGGATCTGAAGCAGAAATGGAGGCAAAACAGAGATGGACCAGCTTGAGTTCCTCTTCCTGTGACATTTATGTGCTGGTCTCCAGGGCCTGCATCACACTTTGTAACAGAATTACCCCATTGCAAATAACACTTGAAAGAAGGTTAGAAGCTGTCAAGTTGGAGTTAGGAAGAAATTACAGCTACATTTTTAGCTTTCTTGAATGGAGGCTCCTCTGACTAAGTGCTGCCAAGATGAAACCCTAGCAAGTAAATGACATATTTAGTGTGCCTGTTCACTCACAGAGGTATTACACAGTGATAGGGATTGTGCACCAAGGAAATTTTATGGCATATATTTAACTGATGGATTGCTGACACAACTTGGTGTACAGTGGATCTTCCAGACAGGAATTAAGAATCTCAGCATTAGCACAACCTCTCCACTGCCTGCAAGCAGAGGGCAAGCTTCTAAGCTAGCAGCAGATGCTGAGTGCCTGTGAAGTTACAATTTTTAAATGATCTTATTAGTTTTCACTGTTTGAACAAGTCACTTTCTAGGTGGGTGCTTTTTGTCCCGTGTCTGCCCGTCCGGCCCTCATTTGAGGGTGACCACAGTGGTTTCTGCCTGCACAGAAGGGATGGCTCAGCTGCTCTTCTGGCAGCTGCTGAACCAACACAAATTACAGCTTGCTGTACTGAAGTATGTGGAAATTGGTGTCTATCTTAGTACATGGGACTGCAACCACAGTGGTGCAGCAGCTGCCTCCCAAACAGCTGAGCCAACCCTGCAGCAAGGGGGAAAAATGAAAGAGATGGCGAGAATGACTTCAGCAGCCCTTGGGTGAAGCACACTTGACTTTATGCTGAACTTTGGGGAGCTACACATCTCTGGCTTCCATTTCTCAGATGTAACGTGGGTAGTTTCTCTCCCACACACTTCCCAGGCATGGTGCTACACGGATATGTGCATAATTCTGTAAAGAATGCCACAGAAATCTGCAGAATGGGTGCTACAGCTGATTATGCAAAGCCCTTGAAGAACACATACTGTTCCACTTGCTCCATTAACAAAAATATTCTCATACAAGTTATAACTTTATGGCTACAAATGAAAAAGAGCCCCATCACCTTACACATCCTTTTTCATTTTTAATAAATAAATCTATTAATTAGTAAATCACAAGAGAGGTATGGCAAGCTTACTTAGAGCAAACACTATTGCTATGCCTTCACCTCTGCACTAGAGCCATTCCTAAGGAGCTCTTCTGCAAAGAGTAATTTCAGATATCACTGTCAGATGGGAGGCCTGCAGTTGCCATGTTATCCACATGCTTCCCTGGGACAAGCTCGATATTCTTATCAGCTCTGCATAGCAATTTCTCTACCAGATACTGCAGCTGCCTCTGCTGTGCCTTTCAGCTTTTGGTGTCCACTCCAAAGCTATTTTAGTGCAGTTGTTATCTGTCCTGCTTGTGATATGTCCTGGCCACCACCATCTGCTTCTTTCTCTGTACAAAGATGTGCAATGGTTCCCTTCACTAATGTGTCCTCTGGCTCAGCATCTTGACATAAAGTTATTCCCACTGCTTGCTATCAACCCACTTTTTTCATTAGCAGGAATTCTGTAATCATGACAAGAGACATTTTTAACTAGGATGTGAGAACAAGGGAACTGCCTAGGGCACTGCAAAGTGAGATTATATATGACCTTCCCCCCACTCTCATCCATACTCACAGAAAGGGCA